GCATAGAAGCAACACAGCCAGAATGAAAGCTTAATTCCTCTTTATTGCTCCAACTTGCCTCCTAAAGTCCCACTGTTCACTGCAAGTCCAGGAGCCAATCTCTAAATCCGCACCTCCAATAGTTCCTGGCTGCTGTTTTTCCAGATGTCCAAGTAAAATCAATTTCCCTCTAACATAAATCCATTACAGGTAGACTTTGACTTATAGCTGTTCATTTAGTGACCATTCAAAGTTACAACAGCACTGAAAAAGTGACTTATGACCGTGTTTCTTTTTTACACTTATGATCATTGCAGCCTCCCCGTGGTCACATGATCAAAATTCAGATGCTTGGCAAGTGGTTCATATTTATGACAGTTGGCACATTCTGGAGTCATGTGATCAGCTTTTGCGATCTTCTGACAAGCAAAGTCAATGGGGAAGCCAGATTCACTTAACCACTGTGCAACTAATGTAACAAATGCAATTCACCTAACAATGGTGCAGTGGTGGATTGCAGGCGGTATGCCCCGTTCCAGTACGGTGCTACGGAGGGCCGACCCGCCTGCCCGAGCTCCTTATCTGTCTTTTAAGTCTTCGGCACTTCCGCGCAAGGGCATGGCATGTACAGCACCTGCGTGATGCTCCACTGAGCAGCTGGAGCATCACAGAGGCTCACGGAAATGCTAAGATGCATGCGCACGCTCTGCACATGTGCGCTGAACGCATCCATGTGGACGCCGCCGGGCCCGTTCCAACCGTACCTGGTGGAACGGGATCCAGAAACCACCACTGCAATGGTGCCAAGAAAAGTCATACAATTGGGCACTTCTGAAAACTCCACCCTACGTTCCTCCCAACAGCCATTCAGCTACTGTGTTTTTCTGCAGACTTTTCTAGGCTGAACATCTCCAATGCCTCTAACTTTGTGTAAGTTTTTTTCCTTCTAGGTTCCGATCAGGCAATTGCAACACATTACAATCTGAATGTACAGCTATGTTGCTTTTGGGGTGCATTTAAAGTTTCCTACTAGTCTGTCTTTTAAGGTCTACAATTTTTATCGTGCTCAGAGGACCGCAAAGTCAGCAGAGAACATGAATTGCAGAGGTGGTATTCAGCAGGTTCTGACCAGTTCTGGAGAACCAGTAGCGGAAATTTTGAGTGGTTTGGAAAACTGGTAAATACCACCTCTGACTGCCCCCCCACCCCCATTTATTCTTTGCCTACCGAGTCCCAGTTGATCCAGAATTTAAATGAACTTAATATATTTAATTAGTTGATGGATCAATTATTTGAGAATCTTCAAAATACATTACTTCTGTAACTAGGTTATACATGATGTGTTAATCAGCCACATGATGATTTAGTGAGATGTGTAACTCAGGTTTCAAAGCCCTGCAATGTTATTAACCAACAGAAGAAGGCTTATTTAAAATCAAATTATTTCTCCACCCAGCACACCTTCTCCAGTTTCATGTCCTTCAGATAGGCCAATCTGCAGAACATCTACACCCTATCCTGCTGTGCTGTTTCTTCATGGCAGGGGTTGTTCCTAGGAGAGAGGAGTGAAGCACACTGGAAGTGTACACTAAAGTTGAGCAAGAGAAACATAGCAAGCAATGCAGGGGTGGGTTCCTAATGGCGTTGGTACCACTGCATGCGTGCTTCACTTATGTGCGAGTCAGATATGTGTTGCATGTGCAGTTCACTGTAAATTGTTCTGCCCATGCACGAAGACCATGAAAAGCTAATAAAAAACATAACAGCAGTGGAGACCAGGGAACAAGTCCAAGGTGTGGCCAGCCTGGATCACTGCCGATTCTGTGATCCACACCAAATTACCCAAACCGGTGCGAACCAGTAGAAACCCACCTCTAAAGCAATGGAAGGAAAGGTTTTAACCAAACTATACCAGCAGATCTGGAAACTGACACAGTGGGCAACATGTTGGAAGAAGTGGGTCTACATACAACGAAAGCAAAGAAAAGAGACTTAATGGACTGTGAAAAATATTGCAAAATATCTTTAATTTCATATGCTAGCAAAATAATGCTTTAGGGTTCTCCTTGAAAGCAGGAAGACTCCCTCTAAAGGAGTTTGACTCTTACGTGCCATGCAAGAATACCTTGTTCCAAGATATATTTTTTACTTCCTAATATACTATGGTAATTCAGTGGAGGCTACATTGTGACTACAGCACATTGGATCACATCCAGGTAATCCACTCCTAGTAAGCCTCTGGAACCTGGGGAGGGCGAAAAATGTGTCCATTCGCAAAAATGAGAGGGGGGGTCACACACGCATGCGTGTGAGGGGGTCGTGCATTATAGCATTATGGGTGTGCCATGCCAGCACATGACCCCCCTGTGCTCCACCCAGCTTTTGGCAAGCAATGGCAAAAAGGTTAGCCATCGCTGGCCTAGAGAGTTGACCCTGCATGGCCCCAAGGGAATCTGACAACCAATCAGAATACATTTCTTACACAGGAACAGGAAACAGGTAGGTGGGGCCGAACAGATTATTAAAAACCCTGCAAGCCCCTCCTTCAGCCTGTGGAAAGTTATCACCCAGCTTCTCCCAGAAAAATGAAATATCTTAGTGTAGTAAGGTAGCAGAAATAACCCAGAAGGCATGTACAGAAAAATTAATAAACACACAGCCAGGACCCATAGCCAGATAAAGCCACACACATAGCCAGGAAAAGGTTACACTCAGTCACAAAAGAAACATGAGAAAATAGGATTAGGAAGTTGGGGAAAACCCCAAATCTAGCAATGACCAGTCAGAATAACAAAAGCACAAAATCCAATTCCAAGATGACAGAAACATCATGACTCTTTACATAGAGCAGACACCTTTGTATAAGCTCCCAAACAGGAGAACACCCTCCTCGTGTCTTATGATAGGATTAGCCCAAGGACAAGACGTCGGGCGAACAAAATCTGAAGACAAGAGAATCAAGATCAGAGCAATCATCTGGAATAAAATAACTTTATAAAATCAAAATTTACACAATAGCCTGAAGCAAGAAAAACTGTATAAAAGGGGAAACCAAACTGTATATAGGGAGTTGCAGACCCAGGAACGACGGAGCTGTGTCTCATCCTTCCCGTTCTTTCTTTCTTCAATAAAACTCATAACTTCCAGGCAGCTGTCTTCACAAAACTTTCTTTTAGCATCGGTGTTGACTCCCAGCTCNTATTCTATTCTATTCTATTCTAAGACTAGGGTGGATTAGGAACAGAAACCTATCTAGAAAGTTGAATTTATTTTACAGGGGGGAAGAGATACATAGGATTACCCTGGTCGTTATTTTACTGCAGTATTTATCTTTTTGGCATTGAAGTTCACTGTCTACCTTATCTTTTAGAGGAGTTGAGAGTAAACCAGAACTGCAAAGAGTCCTGGAACATCGCCGACGAAACCAGCTGTTGAAACAGAGGAAAGAAGAAGATGAGGCAAAGAAATTAAAATCTCCATTTGAACAGGAGCTCTTGAAAAGGCAACAGAAACTTGATGAGGTAGAAATAATTGTGGATTCTACTAGGTTAAATTCCTTTAAAAGACAGAGAGGTTTTTTCCAATACTGTTAGTTCTTGACTTACAACCATTTGTTTAGTGACCGTTTCAACAGCACAAAAAAAAAAGTGACATGATCATTTTTCACATTTACGACTATTGCAACAGTCCTGTGGTCATGTGATCAAAATTTGGATGCTTGGCAACTGGTTCATATTTATGACAGTTGCAGTGTCCCAAGGTCAAGGGATCATCCTTTGCAACCTTTTGGCAAGCAAAGTCAACAGAGAAGCCAGATGAGTCCCCTTCGGGGGGGAAAAGGGCGGCATATAAATAAAATAAACATTCAAACATTTAACCATGTTACTAACTAACAACTGCAGCGATTCACTTAATAACTGCAGCAAGAAAGATTGTAAAATGGTAAAACTCACTTAACAACTATCTCGCTTAGCAACAGAAATTTTGGGTTCAGTTGTGGCCATAAGTTGAGAACTACTTGCAGTGTAGAGGGCAAGGGAGGTGGCTTTGAAGGAAACAGTCAGAAACTCTTCTGTAAGTAAAAAGGACTAAAGTATTGTAGAAGTCAGTTAAAAGCTAATATCTGCCCGGATAGGAAGATAGAGAGAGTCTGTTTGGTAATTTGGTGGTGAGGACATCAGGCTAGACAGTGAGGGACCATGAGTTCTAGTCCCGCCTTAGCCATGAAAGCTGACTGAGTGACTTTGGGCCAATCATCAGAAGATTGTGAGTTCTAGTCCCACCTTAGCCATGAAAGACAGCTGGGTAACTTTGAGTTAGTCATTCTTTCTCACTCCAATACTTCACATGTTGTTATTGTGGAGAATATAGGAAGAGGAAAGTGTGCTGGATATTTCATGATCATAAGTTATTTATAAAAATAATAAAGGCAGGATACAAAGAGGGGGGGAGGGATGGAGAGATGATGATGAAAAAGAGATAGATAGATAGATAGATAGATAGATAGATAGATAGATAGATAGATA